GGGGATTTTCCCTGTATACAGTAATTGAAACAGTGGGTTTTTAAAAATTATTTTACCCTGACCATTTTGGAAAATTCATAATCTTGACTTTTTGAAATCTATCTTTTCTTCATCTTTGTTAGAATTTTACATAATTGTTAAGGGATTTCAAGAGCATAAACAATAAGGTGTGCAAAAATGGCAAACTAAAAGCATTATTGGGAGAGATTCATAGCAAGGTTCATCTAAATCCTGACATTACAAATGAATTTAAAAGATCTGTAGTAAGCTACTGCATTTGAAGGGGTTGTGCAAAGTTTTAGGAGGGAAAACCTAATAAACTTAAAATCAACTTGATCTCACCAAGTCATTGCTAATGGAGTTGGTATATTTTTCTATGATATTAAATGGAGATTAGACATGCATTTGTTTTAGCTTATTTAAATAAAATCTTCAGCTTTCTGTGAGTTCAACATTTTCGACTAGAAAATGGCATTGCTAAATCTATATTCTTTGCTTTATTCATTTGTTTCACTTGATAACTGAAGCAGAGATATTTTTAATTGTTCACTTTAATTAATTTTAAATTGACATTCTTTGATTTGTCTGTCTTTAACAAGAATTATAATGAACACTCATCAAAACAAAGCACCTGTATACGTATGCATCTTTATTGATTATTTCAAAGTTTACACGTCAATAAAAAAAAAATAGTCAGTATATTAAAATGGAAAATTCTCTCTATTGTATAGTGGCCACAGCTTAGTTTATAAAATTTCCTTTCCCTAATAACTTATGTAGTCTTTGGTAAATTGTTTTTGCTAAATCGGTACAGTTTGCTACAGATCTTCCATCAGTATTAAACCCAATTCTTTGGAATAATGGGATATTACCATTATAACTCTCTAGCTCTAGGAAGCTGTCATAGACCAGTCTGTGTTTTATTTGTTTTCTAGAGGGCTGGTTACTTCAGCAGTCCACAGAGCAGTTAATATTGTCTCTGTTTATAGCCATGGCACAGATGTCTAGAAATAAGCCAGCAAATTGACCGTATAGTTAGCCCTTTGGTGAATCTCATTGACATTTTATACATTTTCAAGCTCAAATGCAATTGACAATTTTCTTGGGGTTTTACAAAGTTATTTTAGAATGTCTTTTTCTATTTCTTATGGTGTGGGAATTTATGCAATATTTAAAACAAGTGTTTAAGTAGATATTATTTGCACTGATGTGACTCACATGTATACTTCATTTCTAAATCTCAATAGATTTGACAATCATTTTTTTTTTTAGATATTTACCTTTAATTAACAAGCAAAGAATTCTTTTTTTGATTGCTGGTTGTTTTGTTTTTTTTGAATGAATATTTGTATATATTTATGATATTTTGAATCAATTCGATTTATTTATTTTTAAAATGCTTAGACTGTGGTCAGAAGGAAATATTTTTCATTCTCAGGCTGATGAAAACATCTGATGATAATGTATTATACTGACATCATTTTAATAAAAAGTAAAAACTAATTATTGCTGTGTTATTAAACAACAGACTGTTATGATACCATTAGTACAAGTGCTGATGACATAAGGCAAGCAGGCTAGCTATACAGGCCTTTTTATATTGTTAAGTACTTATGACGTAAAACTACCATGTAGTTTAATCACACAGAACTCCTGTTATTGTTATTCTCATGTACCGTGGAGAGTAATTGGCCAATTATGGAATGAAAAATGAGGAAAATCTGCATTAGTTTTTTATTGATTGTATGTAACAGCACTGAAATGGTAGAAATTTAATATCAGGCTTGGTGTCAGAAGATGTTGATAGCAGGAGGCTGTGATGAGAAAGTGTACACTGAGACACCCACTGTTGTAGTCAGATCAAGATTATACATGAAATAATAACTCACTAGCAGAGAGAACACTCAGATAGTGTGTTCCTTTTTTTTCCACGATTCTGTTCAGAATTGTGGCACAGAAGAACAGGAGGAAAAATCTCCCGATTTTGCTGGCAAAGGGGGAAGTTGCTGTCCATGTCTTTAGGGTGAACAATGTGTTAACAAAAAGCAAGGAGGAATTTGGGTATTAAATTCAAGAAATGCTATTTTGTAATCCTTCATGTTGTTGGATAAATCTTTCAAAAAAAGGAAAATGCTTCAAGTCAAAAGTTTTTCCACAAAGCAATCAGGAAAAATCAGTTCTGTTCAGGAGATATTTCTGCCTTGAGTGAGTGCCAGTAGTTTTAAAAAGACATAATGGAACATCAAGATGAATACCTAATCAGGGAAAATTCCATTGACAAATCATGAAGTGTTTACTGCCAGGAAGGAGGGATTTTCATGGATATTGAAAATTACCCACAATGCATTTGCATGAATTTGATTGGTCAGATAGTGCTGTAAGGTAGGTACCAAATTTATCTGTGTGATTGGCTGACAGTATATGATGTCATGTATAGACGACTATTATTGTTTGTTGTTTTGTGAAGATCTTGTTATTATCAATATTTCATTTGCTTGAATTTCTTTTTCAGCACGGATATATAATTGCGAATAAGAACTTGTTTTTCTGTCTTTTTAATTAGATGAATTGTTTGAGAAACAAAATGTCAACTTTCCGCCTATTGTTGTAGGCAGAGCCGTTAACAGATTTCCAATACTCAAGTTTTGTATCGCTATTTTCAGTTGGTGTGTGTCTTATTACTAGGGAGGCTTTAGGATTCATCCATTAACTCAGCTGTTTAATAATAGATAAAAGTAGTTATACATGCCAGATTCTTGATCACAGAATCACAGACACCCCAGTGTTCTGCACTATATAACAAATCATCTTGTCTTATCAAGAGATAATGGAAGATATTACAATTAAAACAGAAAATTATATTTCATACTGAATGTTTATTACCAGGGGTACAAAAACAATTGTCAGTGACAGAAAGTAACTAGACAGGGGTAATTTCCAGGAAAAAAGGACCTTTATAGGGAATATAGAAATATAAATTAGATAGCTGGACAAATATAGAAAGTGGTTGGCTCCTAAATTGGCATGTTTGGTGTTATTTGGAACTTGATTAATCATTATTCTGGTGGAATATTGATGTCCATTAGAGGGATAGCGAGTCACTGACCACCGATGTCAGTAGCTAGTCACTTATGAAAAATCCATTACACCTTATTTGTTCGGCATCGTAAACAAGGAGAGGGAGAAACAATCAGGGAGGCAGATTATTAATTTGTTCCCTATTATATAAAATTTTTTATTTTATTAAGGGTTTGATAGTGTATTTATCTTGTTCGTATCAATGTTAGGTTATTGGTCAACTTAATTTAAGAAATATTGGGAAAATTATATCAGTTATTGTAACATCATAATCCACATATAATGATATGTTTGTATAATTTAATCAATAGCCCAAATCAACAAACTGGTTAATACAACTATAGTGAAATTCTTCAGTTTTCAGTGCCAAGAGCCACTAAATACATAGTAATATAATTGCTAAATGATGTTATTGCAAAAGTTTATCACACCTATTATAGAGATTTCCAAAGTCAAATTGACTTTTGATATAAATACATGTAAATTTTACAAAATTACAAAGTAGGGAGGGTTTGGGGGTGGAAGGGGTAAAAATGAAAATTACATTTATGTACACCATATATCATTGTGATATCTCTGATAGTGTGATGTGAATAGTGTGCATCAATTAAACGTTAATGTATATATATGTACGCCATGTACAAAAAAAATAAAAAAAATTCAGAAGAGAAAAAAATTGAATATGAAGAAATTCATGAATATTTAAGCTTTTCCACTAGGGTTATAGCAGTAGATAGGTTCAATGAATAGTTAAATTTTACAATAATTCTAAGAATGATATGGATTAAAAAAAAATTTAAGTTATTATACATGTATCATATGGTGTTGAGAGAGATATTATGTACTGTTAACTGTGCAGGTATGTTAGAAGAAAATTGCATGAGAAAATCCAGTCCTTGTCCTTTATACAAGATTCTGCTGTAGTTATGAGAATGATGCTAAATGGCAGGGATTTATTAGATAACAGTTTGTCTGAGAAAGACTTCAAACTATTGAAAATCAATATTTCTTCTTCTGAAGCTCTGAAGAATTCCTACTAACTGTAACAGTGGGAAGTTAATATCATCAGCGAATCTTTTCTTTTGGAGTTTTGTTCCGATTCAGAAGGATAATTCCATGTTCTCTGTTGTTCCACATTGATCTCAAATTTCTCTTTCCATTTCTTAAAACTCAATTAGCAGATCTAATAGAGCCATATTGGAGAACATTATACCTTCATCATACTCGGCTATCCTCTAATGTAAGAACAAATGCCATTGTACTTGAACAGAGTGCAAATCTCGATTTTTTTTTATCTTCAAATTTCAGTATAGTCATTTCAGTGATGTTAGTTAAGATTCCTTTAGAGACCAAATTAACACAAAAGCAAGTTTGTTCTATGGGTATTGTTAGACTGTTCAATACTGCGCATTACAAGTTCTCAAAACTATATTTATTCTTCTGAATTACTACTTTTATTCATGTATTGCCAATTGCAAACCATTGTCTTTGAATTAATTTTCACTGTTCTTTATAAATAAGGTGACTTATTCACAGGAAAAAATGAAATAAGGAAAGACAAAACAGTTTTGTGAGGGGGAGAGGGGGTTATATGTTTCTCAAGTAAAACACAAAAATAGTGAATTGCCAAGGGTAACCAGCATTGCATAATCTTCCAATCACTATCATGACTATATCTAGTTAATATTTCATATAAAGGTTGAGTTACATTGTGAAAAAAATGACTTCACTATAACCAGGTTTTGGATTTATGCCTATTTACTATAAAGACATTTTACAGTGTTTACTACATGCACATGTACAGCTCTGTAGCTGAAAATAGAAACTTTTTAGTTATTTTTTTCTCTAATTTCTCCTGTTTTATGAGAGTATAGTGAATTGCATAGGAGACTAATGAAGTGAAATATTTCCATTTTATATAGATTTACCTCCCCCTTATCCAGGCTACCCCCACATCCAGTCCTCCCCTGAGCCGCTGGAGAGTTATGGTGCCTTTGGAGACAGGAAGTTCTCAGCACCTGTCCTCGGTTCCAATGACATGAGAGGCATAGACCGTCAAGAAGATCACCATATTGTCCGAAGCGATGAAGTCGAAAACATTCCAGAAACAGTACAGGAAGAGCCAGATCTCGAAGATTTCCCGCCCCCAATGATAAGGTAACTGTAGATCACAAGTTTTACATAGCACCTTATTTTCATGAGAACATTTTTTGATATTAATAAGCAAGACAAAATTTTTGTCTCTATTGTTTTTTGTTGTACATAATCCTTTATAAGATTAATATAGGTAAGAATGAAATTTTCACGAGCAGACGGTCTCTTGTAATTATGTGAAAATAAAGTTCTCATGAATTTAAGGTGATTTACAGGATTTTTCATGCATATTACTTGCACTCTAATAAAAGTTGGTTTACAGTGTTTCACTCAAATAACCTGCAGTCATGGTGGACATTTGTTGATTTTAAGATTTCTAAATGTCTGGTTCCTTAACTCTGTTACCTTATTTACAGGAGCAGTAGTGATCTCAACAGAATATCCCCAGTCCCCGTGGAGACCCCCATTGTGTATCAGGAGGAGGATGACTACCCTCCCCCTCCTCCTCCCCCACTGAATGAAAGTGACCTCCATCTGACCTCTGTGAACCATAGGTCAGTCCCACCTGATTCTGTGATTAGTCAAACCGTGATAGAGGATCATGGGATACATGGAAATGTCAGTATTCTCAGCTCGTCAAGGACGGATGATTCAGAAGATGATCCGAAAAAGAAAAACAAGGTATAAAAACAGTAAAGTATACCGCATCAATAAAGTTATGGCATAATTTTAAATATGTATATGGAACAAGGACCCTCTTTTTCTGATATTTGTATCTCAATTATTGTTGTTCTTTTCTAGCTACATTGTGCAACCATTTTTTTTTTTTTGAATTCCAATGAGATTTAGCTTAACTTCATACTATTTTCTTTATGAT